CATTCATCAAGGACCCACATAACACCAGGTATAATGATGCAAGTAAAAATAATTCAACAACTTGAATGATAAATACAAGGTGCCCGCCGTATCGAGGCCAGCATGCTCCTGCCATGTCCTTGTAATTTGTTCGGACGCGAATCTGGAAGTAAAAACAGACAGAAAACTAACACTTTATATGTACGACCTATGTACTGATGACTAGAATTTTGTCGTCATACCATCTCGTGTAAAATAAAATTATTTCGGCGGCTATTTCAGTGTATTGAAAGCTTGATTGAAATAGCCGTCGACAAACGTTTGAAAATCAAAGTTCAGGCTCGGGCCTCGGGTTTTTATGCTTGCATTTTGAAATTGAAGATAAAATATTTGTTGTACCCTATCAAGGCAATCATAGGTGTATCCCCCCCCCCCTGGGTGTCATGATAACACTTTGTTAACCTAGGGATCGCTACAATTATATTGACACCAGGGCTTCTAGCGATGATTGGCTATAAGCGCTTTTCTATAGTTTAGATCGATAAAATTATGAGGTAAAGCCGGAATTTTTTGAATTTCATTGACATGTTGGATTTTTTTTTTGTACACCTATCGTCTACCTTCCCTTTTCTTGAATACGTCTTCAACACAAGCATTTTACAAAGGCTCCATAACTGATGTAAATTCAAACACCTTGGACAGGCTGAAATTGCTATTTTATGTCAATTCATTTTAGTATCGAGAAATATTACTGAGGTCGACCTTTGGTCGGGTTTTGTATTTCACTGAAAAACGCTTTTTTTTCCGCACAAGCCGTCATGCCTTAACAAATTGTGCAGGATCACTTTGCGCTGATTGTCGGATTACTTGAGAAAGCTGCTAGAATATAACTCAAAAATACGAGATATAACTCGAAAATACGAGATATGGTCAAAAATACAATAAGAAACCAACGAAACTACATAATTCACCCAGCCTTCCTGCACATGCTGGTGATTGTCTAACAGAGGCCTTTTTTCGCTCCCAACGTCCCGGCTTAGATGACTCACTTTCTTATTGTTGCTGTCCTTCACATAAAGACAATCGATGAGGATCTTTCCCGTGTAGTAACATATGAACGGAACGATCGCTAAACCAACAATTGCTACCAGACCTCCTCTCTGTATGACATACGGTAAAGCAAGCAGGCCTGTCCCTTCAATATCACTGACAAGATTACTAACAGACTGCCATATTGACGATTTGTAATTCGAAGCTTTGTCCTTTTTGTCCCCAACGTCTGGTTTGTTTACTTTTTCGTTGTCGTCTTGGCCAGTTAACAATGTATATTCAGAGTTTTCGATAGCAGACTCTCCCATTTTTTTCAATTCTTTTTTTCAACACACCAAACAGCCGASTAAGCACGAATGAATGATTAGAGTGATATCACATAAGCAAGGTCTTGCATGTAAATGGCGAGTAAGATATYATACTATTCAAATAGCTTAATCTAGCGAAGGCTATTTACGATTCAAACTATAGAGGGCAGTGAATCCATAGTCTTTGGCAGTGGATTTGATGGAGGTCTCTCATTCGATCCATACTTGTCGTAACAAAGACAGCTGTTTTGCGTCCCAGTTGACCACAGGTGTTTTATTAGGGTTGCGTAAATCATTTTCGCGGAAGATTCCCCATTGGGCTAGTGGTGGTTATCAAAAGATTGCTTTTTKCATTTATTATTACATCGTCTACTACTATAAGAAAGAACCACGTGAAACTGCAAGAAACTAGTATATAACTTTTGATGTGGGAATTCCTCAAAAAAAACTAGGAATTGCATATCGTACAAAACTAGTGCTATCCAAGTGCTATTTTAGTGCACTACTGCGGATTTATCAATTTTTTCAGACCAAAAAATGAAAGCACAGCAAGATATTAATTGCAATGAAATTAGGATTGCTTCTTATGTATGTAATTCAACCAATCACTTTATACTTTGAAGTTTTACCGACAATTTCCTCAACACAGAGTGATATCACATAAGCAATGTTTTGCATGCAAATTAGTTTTGTGAGTAAAATAGTAAGAAAGGTAGAAAAAAGAAAGAAACGCAAGTCGCTTAATGTGTATGATTGAGATCAAGACTTTTCACCTTTCGGATAGTATAGATCAGATGCACTAGCCCTAACCAAACGAGAATCAAAGGCCCGCGCCGCACAGCCAGTTGGTCTCTTGAATGAATTACCAGCCTCTAACTTGCCAATTTAGTATGTCCGGCGCATATCAATGTAGCTGATATTTGAAATAATTCGCGTGCCAGCTTGGTCAAGTACTTTATATATGTTAATCTAGTCAAACTTAGTTTAGGATAAATAGAAACATAATACTGACTTCACAGGGTTGTAGGTATTTCGTTCACAGGATAGTAGGTATTCCGTTTACAGGATAGTAGGTATTCTGTTCACATAGTCCATATCACAAGCCCGCCATTTTGAATGGTTTTGCAATGTATCTGTATACCCATAACAGAAAGAAAAGGACAGAACACTACAGAGAAGTCGACGCAAAGACCTTTAGAGAAAATAGCTCGTCACTGCAAGCAAACCACTCAGAAAAGAAAGAGTCCTCAGCTAAAATCAGGATTCCAAGGAAACAAAGAACCTTCAAAGATTTAATCCTTTCAACGAGCGTTCTACTACGTTATGTAATATATACAATATGAGCGGGCGATTTGTATGTAATATACAACTCTCTTCATGGGCTATGATTTCTATTGTGTTTTGCCTTATGAATATTAATGAGTTTCATAAATGCATTTAAGTACTTTAGTTACAATACTACTAGTTTATCATGGTGAAATGTTTTTTCACGGCGTATCTCGCCTTTATTGTATTAGCTATAAGTAAGTTTATTTCGATTATTTCAATAAATAGAGTGCTTACTTGGCTGACTGAGTACGGTATTCTACGGGAAGGATCTGTGTCCGTGGAGATTGGGGCAAGGTGTGCGGATTAGGTCGATCACAAGAAGGGGGGGGGGCTAAGTCTACGGGCCTGTGACTGACCATAATTTCAACATTACCAAATATTACTTCACACTTTTATTCAATGAAAGCGTAACAATTCAAAATTTAMTGAGATCTTTTCCTTTTTTTCGTTTTTATTCTTGAAACTGGGAAAAATTAACATAAGCGAGGCAAAACGGTTGAAATGTTATTTTGTCGATGAATCATCCTCGGCATCGCCACTAAGTTCATCATCGTCTTCGTCAAAATCTTCACCTTCGTTCTCATCCTCGTTGTCAGTTACTTTAGCTTCTTCAGTAGCTTTATCGTGGTCGACGAAGATTAAGCGAAGTCGATTAAATCCATTTCCATGAAATGCAAGTCGTTGCTCTGTGCCATCTTTTACTATGTACGCTGAATTCAAAAAACATACTTATGTTATACATTTGGGAATGGGGGCACAAATAGGGGGGCTAAAAGACCCTTTTGATGCAGCCAGTCCAATTAATTGCGTCTTTTGGAAGACTGGATTTTCCCACAAGGGACAAGACCCCTTTTGTGATGGACTCTCTCATCTTGCCTTAAACCTAGACACAATATACACCCTTTTAATAAGTCCCGAGGTATTGAATTCTCCGCASTTGACGTCAAATTTATTCTTTTGAAATTTTTACAATACAAAAGGAATTCAAAAGAATAAATTTGGGGACTAATTAAAAGGGTGTATAGAGCATGCAAGACGCAAATCAGCCGATGCTAGGCAGAATCGCAATAACGCCCATTGACCGTCATGCAGCTGCACAATAGAGCCAAACACGACGCCCGCAGTTTCCTTTTTTCTTGGTAATAAAAGCCGAAATTACTGATCAAAAAGGCTGACATTGATTGGTGACCTTCCTTGCAGYCAGGACAATGATGAGAATGGACAGCACAAAAGGGGGTTCAAGAATTAAGACCCTTTTGATGCAGCCATTAATTGCGTCTTTTGGACGACTGGATTTTCCCACCAGGGACAAGACCCCTTTTGTGRTATACTCTCTCATTTACATAAACGTAGTTACTGGCATACACCCCTTATCTTGTATGTGACGGCGAAGAAGCTTGAGGATAAATAAAAAATCATATAAATGTGAGAAATGACAACACAAAAGGAGGTTTGAGGAGCATATTTAGCCTACGTACCAACACAGATTGCATCAAATGGGGCTTAATACTCAGTCACCCTTTTGTGCTGCTATACGCATGTCCGTCACGACGATTGGAGAACAAGTGAAAATACGATGATTTCTAACGCGCGCTCTGATTGCCCAAAAATTAAAGAGTGGTTTATGAGAGTATAAACCACGATTGTGCGCGAGCTCGTGTTTCTTGACATTTTCTCGTTTGTTTCAAATGCCAAGCGTGGGTTTATCAGAGTATAAATCACGGCTGAGCCTTATTTATTTGTTAAATAAACCTTTTTTGGCCTTAAAAGCGCTTGCCTCGAAGAAAATTATTTATGATAATTTATAAAATAATTTGATTTTATAATAATTCTTTATTCCATAAATACAAGAAGTTGTACATTAGAACATAAAAATTAACTTTGACAAAAAGATATACTAGCTGTCTAAATTATTATACAGATTTAGAACATTAAAACAGTACTTCGGASTCACCACATGATAACCTGTGAAGGTTTTGAAAGAGTTATTTATGTACAGAGGCTTTCCAAGAAAGCTTTTCATAGCATAAACATTTCGTTGTTATTGCAAAGGTGACAAAAACGCTGTTCATAATCGGAATTCCATTATATCAAGAACAGTACAAGAACAGTTATTTATCGGCTCCTTCTGAGTTTTCCAATCAAACCTTGGAAGTTAAGTTCACCTCTAATCGACATTGCTGACAATGACGTCGGTTATTAACATTGCTGTTAATCGAGATATGACGTTATATATCATGTGTTATTAATTTGATTCTAGGTCARCAAATGCTGTTGAAACAAACTCTAGCCAACATTGTCAKCKTAATGTTACATAGCACCCGTCCATGGGAAAATCAAATGTAACTTCTCTTATTTTGGCGGCAATTTTAAGCAAACCTGCCGGAACAGACTGTGTTCTATTCATCACGAAATGTCATCCTTCATGTGAGTACTATATAATGACGCCCGAGTAAGCGCTTCCAAAGCGCCTAGTTTTCAAAAAAATTTGAACAAGTTTGAAAATACCGCTTTAAATAAACATCACTGGTAATATATAAGTTCCAAATTACAGTAAAACAACTTGCAAATGAAACGAGTAGATCGATCATTACAGAATATTTCGCTAAAATAACATGGTAATTGTAATGATATGCAAATCGTTCGTATTGTAATTTATGAAAATCGTGAACATGCGGATAAGTGTGTAAGCCTCATGGCATCCGCAGCAATGTACATCGGTGTTAGTGTCAGGAATTAAAGCGTACAGTAACCCACTCGAGACTATTACAGTAATCACGATTAATTCTAGGTTACATGGTAGAAACATTACGAACTCAATAATAACACGCCACTCGGTGTTACAATCGGCAGAATCCGACATCTACCTATTCACAAATCGCGGCTTGTATAACTATTATATCTATATTGAATAAAGTTGAATTTGATATCGTTTTCACGGGTTCCCTACAGGGTACATTATTACCTGGGCAAATGTAGAAGCTAGGATCCATGTCAGACCATCTTCCTTTATCATCTTTCCCTTTAACTTCAATGTGYACAGCGTATGAAGTCGTTCCTTGCGGTTCGTCATGTTCTGTGGTGTAACCAATGTGATGGCCTGCAGACACGCATTGATTCACAAACACTGACCTTGAAACATTGAAGTTCTTCATCATCACAAAAAATCCTGGAATGATCATTCCAACAGCTTAGAACTCGTTCTCAGTCGAAAACGACCATTAGGCTGGATTATGAATGGGGGTGAGGGATGGATTGGGGGTTCGTTACTCACTGTGACGRCCCTCTTTTATCCATTAGGTTTAAAAATACCGCTTTTAATACGCCTATTGTAAAGTTATTGCATACCWTTTGTTTRTAATAGTATTTCCGTTTCCGTTTTGCATGTCGTTTCCGTTGTCATTTTAGTTTTCCCGCGTGTATTCTAGTTCTTTGTATTATCAGTTTTTTGTACTGTCCCACGAGWATTGTGTACATGTAAATTCGCTTAGTATTTCTCTCGTCTTGTAGTTGTATTCACGTACTGCGTATATGCGATCAATCTTTGTGGAAACTAATGCGACTTGCGCTATAAATTTTGTACTTTGGAGTATCGCCTTTGTGTGGGACAGTCGGTAAGTTTTCGTTTTCACCACTTGCTTGTAAATCGTATTAGTTTCGTTCGT